GGGAGAATTAAATTTGTGTTTAAAGAATTGGGAAGATTCAGGTCATGTCTCATATTTCCCTCATCTTTATTTCTGTATCTTTCAATCTGTGAATCTTAGGGTAAGGTGGGGTCAGAAGAAAGCAGTTTTGACACTTTCTTCATTTCCCAAACCTTGTTCTATTTCTTAATCCCAGGCTTTGCCCCTTCTTTTCTATTCCAGGTGATAAACCTCACACTAGCCTATTTTAAGCACCTTAACCATCTTGCCTCTTTTCTGTCTAGTTCCAACCAGCCTCTACTCAGACGATAGGTTAACCTACCTGGGTTCATCTTTTTCACCTTCATTTTATTCCTCCAAGAACCTCTATTAGGTCCCCATAGCTTATAGAGTGGGTTAAAGCTCTTTGTTTGGATTTCAGGGCTCACTCATTCTTGACCTCACTCACTACTTTGGGCAGCCTTCTCCCGCTGATATGGCAATACCCCCTCTCCCAGCAATACACACCCTTCTTTGTTTTTTTGTCTGCCACCCTACAAATGGTTAACTTTATTTGTTTTCTATACTTTTAGAGCACTTAAAATTTGTTCCAAGCAGTTTAGCCTGTCTTGTATGAATTTGTTTTTAGTCAGCAAATGTTTAATGCATACCATGTATAAGGCACGCATTAATGTATAAGGCCAGCCATGTATAAGGCTGGCAAACACTAGCTGTGTGATCCTGAACCAGTTACTTCATCTCCCTGAGGATTTTTCTCATTTATGAAATTGAGATAAAATAAGGCTTATCTCATGGGTGTTTTTACAAAGGTTAAATGAGATACTATATAATAAAGCACCCAAGACCATGGCTAACAACATAGCAAGTGCTCAGTATGTTTCCTCCCCAGTGTAGCCACATGCTTAGCACCACCCTGAGCCTCACACTGTTGAGTAGCAGATACCAGACCTTTGTTAAACATGTAATACATAGACCTAATTCCTACCCCCACCCCCACCCCAGCCCCCTTCTCTTTGTCCTCTTTTCTCCTCTCCTAATTCTCTCAACCCCTTTTTGTTCACACTCATGGCCACTCCCTCTTCCTCTTGATTCCTTTTATATTTGCACTGTTATCTAAGGAAATGTAACAAGTACTGACGGCAAATATACTTGGGGAGATAGCTTGCTCAGACATAAACTCTGATAGGATTAAACCTGTGTACTTTTTGTTAACCTGCTTAGTGGATCATAGGTGCCTGGGTGCCTAAAAATCACTCAAGAATCAAGACCTTCCATCAAGTGTTGGCACTAGGTCAAGCCCCTTGCCTGGAAAGACCCTGCTCCCCTGCTGCCTGCCACACCCCTCCAGGCAGGGCCCTTCATGTGTAAAGGAGAGGAAATGCCATTCAATCCCCTGAATACCTCTGTCCCTATGCTGTATGGATAATATGTTCTAGACACTGTAAAACATCTTGCCCAATCTGATATTACACAGGGAAGACATTATTGAATAAAGTAATGTACAGAGATATGCATATGTTTGGAACACACATCATTTAGCTGTAAAGATAATTTTCTTTCATTGGTTTTCCTTTGACTTTAATATAGGATGTAGTCCCCACTGGCACCTGAGCGTAGTCTTAAAAAGTACTTCATGGTAGGAAACAGAATCCTCTACCACTTCCCTCCTTCCCACAAACTCCAGTATCTCATCTGAAGTTACCTTTCAATCCTTAGATGACAGGTTTCTCTCCCTTTTTCCCAGAGGAGATGAACTGAATGGGTTTGCCAGGGGACAAAGTGATGCAGCTTTAAGAGCTTTTAATGCCAGTTTACATTTGTATCATTTTAATGCTTTCAAAATGCTTTTACATGCTGTTGTCAGTTGACTTCAATCTCCAAAGTAGGCAAGATAAGTACAAATGAGACAAGTAACAGCTAATGTTTCTTCAGTGCCTGTTATGTCCCACCCTCTTTGCTAAATGCTGGACATTTATTATCTCATTTAATCCCCACTACAACATTATCAAGGAAGTATTATTATAATTCCACATAAAGAGGCAATTGTAGTTTGGAAATAATTTGTTAGGTCTTTTAGCTGGTGGGAGAGTGGAGACAAAATCTGAACTCAGGAAGTCACTCTCCAGAATTAAAGTTTCAAAAGAAAATGATAGAGGTATTTAGGAAATGAAGGGGATACCACAGGATGAAGGAAATTTAAAAATAGAAAAAAATATATAAGAATTTGAGGGGCCCCTGGGTGGCTCAGTCAGTTGAGCGTCTGCCTTTAGCTCAGGTCACAATCTCACGGTTTGTGGGTTCGAGCCCTGTGTCAGGCTCTGTGCTGATAGCTCAGAGCCTGGAGCCTGCTTCAGGTTCTGTGTCTCCCTCTCTGTGCCCCTCTTCTGCTCACCTTCTGTTTCTTTCTGTC